TAAATCAGGAATGAAAAATGTTTTTAATTTTTTCGTTTTTGTTTTTGATTAACGTTTTTAAAAACGTTATTTTTCTATATTGTTTTTGATAATATTGTTTTTTTTTTTATAGTAATAACTTTAGCAATTTAGAAATGCACTTAAGAGTTAAAAATTAAAATTAATTATTCTTGATTTCAAATAAAAATGTTTTTAAATTTTAATAGAGCATTGTTGGTAAAGATTAAAAAGTAAATACTTAAGTAGGTAACATTTTTTTTTTCGTGTTATTAATATAATAATGTATAATACTATAATTTATTTGCGTTTTCGTTTTTGATTTCGTAATTAATTTTTTTTCTGTTTTTGGGATTTTTTGTTATGGTTTTTTTGTTTTTGTTTCATTCATTGTTTTCGTTTTTTTTCCGTTTACAAACGTTTTCCATCCCTGGTTTAAATTATTTATTTTATTTTATCACTATGGTGTTATCATTGTGTATCTTACCTTTACATTTTTTCTGACGATGGGAATTTATAAAGTTGACGGAGTGATTGTTTACAAAAATACAGTAAAAATCAATTGTAAAGCGAATTGCCTGTTACATGTTATAATAAATATTATCAGTGATAAATAATAATATTGTTTATGGCTGGTGGAATCAATAATCACGATAAAGAAAAATTGCAAAAAAAAAAATAAAATAATAACTACCAAGTCAATATTGAAAACACAAGCACATATCAAAAGTAGACAAAACGTGTATTACTAATATGTAAAAAAATAAAGAACCTTGGGGGATCTATCCCCCATATCACACCCCCCCTCCCCCCGTGAGAACGCCCATGAATGCGACCAATGTTTAAACAAATTAGTAGAAAAAAATTATAAGGCATTCATAAGCTTTCAAAATAGTTTCTTTTGTATAAGTAACCTTGTAAAATACTACTGTATTAAAGTTTTAAGGTCAAAAGGTTATAAATTCTATAATTTTACTAACACATACCAACAAAAAACTATACATGCAAATATTTATTAAATAAATAATTGAATTCTATGAAATGATTATTCATGAGTCATGAGTCAGGAATTAAAGTAAAATAATGTTAAATACATTAGCAAAATAGCAAATTTATATATAAGTATCCAAAATATTCTGATTTGTTCCAGTTTTCTTTATGATATCATTATGGAGAATATGATTTAATAAAAAAAATGATGTCACATTTGAAAATTTAGGAAATTAAGAATACACATAGAATTGTGATGAAAGAGCTAATTTGAAATTTGAAATACTAGATAGGTACGAATGAACAATGACTTTTAGATAAATTGAAGAAATATTTTATTGAGAATAATGGCGACTATGGAATTTAAAAATGTCTTATTCAAAATGGTTCAACGTGTCTACATTTCAAGAATTTTAAAAATGTTTTAATTCTTCATAAATTATTACTCATGAGTCACGAATCAGGAATTAAAGTAAAATAATGTTAAATACATTAGCAAATCAAGATTTTTAGGTGCTGAAATATGCTGAATTGTTCCACTTTACATTAAAGTAAAAATAGGTTATCATCAGACATCACAATTACACAATATGAATAATATGGAGAATATAATTTAATAAAAAAAATGATGTCATGTTTGAAATCTTAGGAACAATGACTTTTAGAGAAATTTAATATTGCTTTTTCATAATAATTTACATTACATAATATTAAACTTGTTTCTTAAACTTTTTAAAGAAAATGCATCAAATCCGATAAAATTAATTTAAATTAATAAAAATTAAAAAAACAAAGAATATACATTGGATTGTGATGATAAAGGTAATTTGAAATTTGAAATCCTAGATAAGTCCAAATGAACATTGACTTTTAGATAAATTGAAGAATATATGAGAATAATGACAAATATGGAATTTAAAATGTTTTAATTTTCTAGAAATTGTTACTCCAGTCACGAGTCAGGAATCAAAGTAAAATAATGTTAAATGCATTAGCAAATCTAGATACTTGTAAATAAACGAAAATTACACATTAAATTGTGATGAAAATGCTAATTTCAAATTTGAAATCTTAGATAGGTACAAAATGTGCAATGACTTGCAATTGAAAAATATGAATCATTTCCAGTAAAATGAATAAGTAGGTAATATATGTATAATCATTAATAAGTAGATCTTAGTTGCAATTAAAAATCTCACAAGGTATAATCTACATTTCAAGAATTTAAGAAAAATGTTAATTCTTTAGATTTAAAATTTTCATTTCATAAGATTAATAGTTGAAGTTTAAGAAATAGTGGTCTCAAAATCTCCAATAAATATTAGGGTTTAATCAATCTATTATCTAGTGGTATGAAAATGTATATTATTTAATGTAAAGGTAATCAATAAATGTATTAACATTACCACTCAGAATATAAAACTGGATTAAGTATTCCATATTCACATACAAACTATACCGATATAATTAAAAATGATTATTGTATTCAGTGGGGTATTTCATTATTTAGCACTTTTTTCGGCCAGAACGTAAAAGATTTATAGTAGGTACTGCAATATACTTTATATTTTACTGAAATATGTAACCAACAGACCTTGCAAAGTACGTTTCATGGGACAGACATATGAAAATGTTGAATGTAAAACTGGTTTGAGACAAGGAGACGCATTATCTCCAGTACTTTTTAACTTGAAGCTAGAAAAGTGATAAGAGACATCCAGGAGGAACAAAAGATGGAAATAATCAGGGTAAACACACATTTAGCGTATGTGGATGGCATCGTCATTCTATGAACATCTCAGAAAGAAATTGAAGAAAATTCAAAGAGACTATTTGTAGCTAGCCATGATATGGGTTTATTATTTAATGAAACCAAAACAAAACATATGGTTATGTCAAGGCAGGTGACCCAAAGGCCAAAAGAATAATATCAAGATAAATGGATACTCATTCGAGAAAATGGAAGAATTTAAATACCTGGGAGGAAATATTAATAAAAAAAATAATATGCACAACGATTATAGGGATAGCTTAGAAATTCGCTCAGCGACTTGAAGCTATTACGCTATGAAAGAGGTGTTCTCATCAAAGCTTCTGTCTCCTCGCCGAACAAAAGAGAGGTTATACATTACATATTTGCACCCCATAGCAACGTATGCATGTATAATGAAATTGCATGATAATTGTATAATGAGATAATATGACATATGACATAATGTCATCCATAGAAAAATGCATCATTTTTTTTTATCTCTGAAAGTGCAATAACTTTTAACGAGTCTGATAACTGTTTGTTGAACATAATATATATATGTCTAATTTTGATCATTTTATAGGCTTTCATACATATTTTGTGCGAAAAAATGGTTTGCCAATAATTATAGTATCTTTACTACATTTTAAGTGAGCAATATTTAATACTTAAATTATTGTATTATTATTAGTTACTATATAACAATCAGCATCATTTTTGATTTTAACTTAAAAGTTATCTAAGGTTAAAACTTTATATTGAGGATCTGTAGTGGTAGATGTCAATGGACTCATAAAATGTTGATTTTTTTAAAAAATCTTTAGTCTTAATAAGATTTGATTTATTTATACGTATTGTATATTTTATCTCTTTACAACTTGTTCTAATGGTTCCTCTTGTTTTCCGACCATACTTTTGAGATTCTTCATGTAGTTTTCTAAACAAAAATCATTACAATTATCTAATGGCCCAAGCCCCAAATTATAAATAATCATCAACTAAATGTAAAATTTCGTGAATATTATAATGTTTTCCATAGATTAACTGAAAACTCTCAACAAAATATTCAAGAAGGTCTTGGGAAATTGTTAAGGCGGCTTACGTGTTATTATTTGTAGCTATGTACCTATGTTATTACTTATTAGTAGTTATTATAGTCATTAATAGGCACATCTTAACATCACTCCATACTCCATAGTGGTGTTAAATATACTTTCATCACTTTTCACACGTGTCATATTTTAATTTTATCAATTAATTAACTTATGTAAAATATTAAAAATCGCATAAACAAAATAATGAAAACATGCATTTTTATGTTAACAATAGATAGGTATATCGTATATAAAAATATTATACAGTTTGTTTTTTTTATATTTATGAGAAATCAATGTACAAAAAAAATTAAAATCCAACCAAATTCAGTGGTGCATGTCTTAAAAAATATTTTGTGTTACTTAAATAATTATGAAAAAAAGCTTAATTTTTAATTAATTATTAAAGTTCAGGAGTATATACAGGATGACTCTGCCACTCATGGAAAAATCGATAGCTTGTTTTTAAACTACTAGTTTTAGGTATAATAGCCGAGATCTATAGATTTAAATTATAATCAAAGTTTACTATTTTGGTATATTCAGTAGGTAGTAGGTACATGTACACTCCTTTTTTTTAATTAACTGTCGTATAGGTTAACTTTTATATTGCCTTGCATTAAACAAATAAAAATATTACCAAATTTGGATGTATTTATTTACTTAGGGTTCCTACTTAATAATATAAACATTAAATAGGTACAAAATAACAACAACATAGTATAAGTAGATAGGTACCTATAATAGTATTACCTATATGTAATTGTGTTTCTTTATTTTAGTCTTCCGATTTACAAATACAATATAAGTGTGTTAAACGTTAATGATATAATGATATGTGCATAATATAATAATTAGGTACCTTATAGGATGTAATTTAAAAAAAAAATTAAACATAAAAATGTGTGCCTATACTTTATTAGGAATGAGATCGACCTCGGCGGCCAACTTCTGCGCATGGGCGTGGCTTTGTTCCGTGGCAGCGCCCGACGCGTCGCCGTAGTGGAGACGGAATCTCACCATATGTCTGACCGCCGCCCGACGAAAACTGGTCGCCGCCGAGGTACGATCTCATTCCGAATAGAGTATATTATAAATTATATCGCTATATTTGTAAGAGTTTTTTCACCTAAACACGAATCCATAATTTATGGTTTATTTGTTAACTAATCGTTTATTTTATTCTCTGTGTTTATTCTAGGTATGCGTACAAAATAATCACAATTTGCAGTTTTAACAAAACCCTTATGTTCTTTAGACTTTGAATAATCATTGTAAAATATGTAAAATGCATTATAATGTGGCATAATCTTACTGCAACTTAGATCATAAAACCTATCAACCCATTTTTGAATTTCGTTCGCATACTTCTTCTTGTCCCCGCTTTCCTCATATTTTTTTACCATACGTTTCATTTGACCAGTCACACTTCTTGAAAAAATACCTCTTTTTGCTTTTTTTCCTATGTTAAATAAATATTTAAAAAAATTATAGTACACTTTAATACCAAATTGAATGAAATACTGTCCAATTGTTTCGCATAGAACGTCGGGTACAAATGATAACTTAGGCTTAAGTAAATCACATTCTAATTTTATCGGCTCTTTTTCGTTGTTTTTGTAATAATGTGTTAAAAATTCATTATAATCCAATGAGTCAAGACAATTATGGATTCTAGGTGGTTGTTTTTTACGCCTTTTTTTCTTTTTTTTACCTGCCTCAACGCGGGTTTTTAGACCTTTTCCTTCTTCAGATTTAAAAAACTGTTCAGCCACTTTTCTAAATATTTTTTGTTTATAAAAGTCTCCGAGTGTTTGACAAAGTCCTTCCGTTTCTTTATTTTTCTTATCTGTAATTTTTTTTTTTTCTCGCCACTTTAGCCGCTCCCCATTTTATTCCTGCGATTTCAGCAAATATTGATGTCAAAACCTGGATTTAAAAATTTAAAAATACATGTTAAAATATAATTTACCTATACCTATAATTATTCAGGTTCACGTGGACTAGGTACTAGATTTTAAGAAATATTCCATAGGCAACTTATTATTTGGTATCGTGTCTACTTCGTTGGGCATATCGTTAGAGTCATAGGCGGTACTTGGTTCACAATTGTTGGAGGGGGGAGGCAAAAATTAATCACAATTTCCTGACCTATTTTAAATGATAAGTTTGCCCTCTCAATATTTATTCTTGGGAGGGACAGCTGCTCCCTCGTGACCCCCCCCCAAAAAAAAAAATGCCATCTCTGTACTATGAGTAACCTGGGGTGACGGACGTACGTAGAAAGAAGTTACGAGAGGGGTTTTTGAAAATCGTCCAAATCCGCAATAGTGATGACAAAATAAAGGTACCGTATGTTTACATAAAAAATATGGACAATATCTCCTCCTAAAATATACTATACTACCCAAATAAAAAATAGATACTTACCAATGTCATTAGTAGATGTTTCAGTTTTATACTGAGTAACATTTAAATTGTATTAAAAAAAATTTAATTTAATGAACTGAAAGTATGAGCATTACATTAAATATCTACCTATAGGTAAAATATAGGTAGGTACCTCATATACCTAAGTTATTTATTGCCAATGACGTTAGTCAAATATTTTGTTAAAAAAAAGTAACATTGATATTAAAATATCAAGAACTAAAAATTCCACTTGTTTAAATAGGTACTTACCTAATAACAAATACGTTATTTCAATTAAAATTAATATTTATCAACATTTGGGTAAACACTCACATGCTACATGCATATACAATATACATTATGCTATATGCCTATATACCTAGGTGTGTATAAAAACGCAAATACTATAATTTATGATATACTATTATAGGTAGGTACTATATTTTACCTATAGGTAGGTATTTAATGTAATAATCATACTTTCAGTTTATTAAACTAATTTTTTTTTAATACAATGTAAATGTTAGGTACCTACTCAGTATAAAACTAAAACATCTACTATATAGATCTACTATAGATCTACTATCTTATAATGACATTGGTAAGTATCTATTTTTTATTTGGATAGCAATATATTTTTATTAGAATAAAAACATATTACAGTCGACTAGTCGAGTCTCGATAAATCGAATCTCAATGAGTATAAAAATGAATAAGACTAAAAAATGTTCCGGGTTATACAGGGTGTTGCAAGATAAATTTGTCAAACTTTAAGAGGTGTTTCTACACCTCAAATGGAACAAAAAAAGTCCTTGTGACCATAATCGAATTATCAATAATGATTAATGAGGGTGATAATTTCCATGTTTGTGTTTTTTTGTTTGATTCATAATAATGTCCATATCTGCTAAACCGTAAGTACTACAATTAATTTGAATACATTGATGAAAAGCTCATAAAATTTGGATTAAGAAAACATATCTTACAAGGTTCCCACCTGATTTTTTGGGTAAAAAGAATAACACACATTTTTTATAACTTTAAATAATGTCGAAATTTTAAAAAAATTCAGTTTTATCCTACGTTCCTACAAAATTTTTTTTTAAAGCAGGTGGGTGCAAATTTCAAAAAAACTTCAAAATGTTATAAGCTTTTCAATAATGTACTCGATTTTTTCGTTAAACCTTTCTGAAGAGCCGCCATTCCACCTAATGTGTGGAAAGACCGGGAAAAACTTAAACAAATTCTATGCAATCAATAAAAAACCTGGTAAACTGATTTTTTTTAAAATTTCGACATTTAAAATTTATAAAAAATGTATGTTATTCTTTTTACCCAGAAAATCAGGTGGGAACCTTGAAAAATATGTTTTCCTAATCCCAATTTTTAAGCCATGTTCCATCCCCCTACAGTTCCACAGGCTAATAACCACAGTAGTTGAAGCCTCAACCCCACTCCAAAAAAAAAACTAATGCGAGTAGGTAATGGCCTGGATACGGAATATAATATAATCAATTCTTAGATTGATTGCTTGAAATAAATATTTCTACGAAACCAATAGACTTTTAAATAAATAAATTTTAAAATATTTCGTTTTCCGTTATTTTTCGTTTTATGATATTATATAACATAATATTTTGTTAATATTTATGTTTTATTTTGCAGTAAGGTCAGGTGGGGTAAGAGCCTAACCGGGCTAGTGCCTAATCGGGCTATAAAAAATACAATCTTTCAATTTTAAAGTTGATTTCATGAAGATTACGAAATAGTAATCGAATGTTGTATAATGTTGGCTACACTTTAGGACAGTGTTTCCCAACCTTTTTTTACTCAACGCCCCTTTTAGATTTTAAAAATCTCACACCGCCCCCCCCCAATCAATTTTTTAAAATGATAAACGTTTTATTTTTTAATAAGCTATTTAATTTAAGACAAAATATCATTTAACATTTTAACGCTACAATTTAATTAATTTTAAATTTAAATACCTACCAATAATTAATAATTATATAATTTGATTCGAATTCGCTAATATAAAATTATAAACAAAAAAATTAAATGATACATGAGCGCCCCCCTCATAAAAAAGCCCCCTTCAAAATAAAAATGCCCACAAGGGGGCGGTAGCGCCCACGTTGGGAATCACTGCTTTAGGATATCAAACATAACTATCGCAGTTATCTCTATTCAAAAAGCTAATCAGTTATTAACTCGTATTTTTTTAAATCGACGATAATTCAACGGTCTAGTTAACCCACCTAAATTTCTCAAATTAATTTCAAATTAGGTAAATAAATTTTATCTTATATTTATAATATTATTTCATTTATGAATTTATTATGCTAATTGTATGATACAAATGAGTATTAACCGATTATGCACTTCCCCCGTGTAAACTTCCACACGGGGAATGTGCGACATGCCTTATTTTGTTAAATAGTTAAAAAGATTTTATAAACATTGTTTGTGACTAAAATATTTATGAGTTATAAACATTCATTATTAAATATGTAAATAGTTGACAATTAAACTTTGAATATGTGTTAAATTATATCAACCAAAACTTAAAAAAAACTAATACGTATTAACTATAAATTAAAAAACTGATGTCAAATCTTGATAAACTAAAATAATTGAATTCTTTCAACGGAATTTCTTTGAAAATGGTCATTAGTTTATGCTGTTTATGGCACTACTGCACTAGCCCCGGCCGCGTATTAGGAAACCCAGGACGCCACAGAGCGCCTTATGTATACCACGTTCTCATTGGCCCATTTCAAATTGCCCGCTTTTTTTTATCATTTATCAAATAATTTAATTTAATTTAAATATAATCTATATTATATTATTTAATTTAAACAAATTAAAATAACTATTTAGTAGGAAAAGGTACCTAACTAATATCAAACAATATTATTATGTTATTATAATTCAATAAATTAATGTAGAATGTGATCTCTACACAGTTATTTTTATTTTTTACTTTAGTAGGTACCTACCTCAGAGTGAACATTTCTTACTGGACTATTGGACTAAGTGTATTGTACTTGTACACACCTTTTGTGTTAGCTAAAAAGATTGTCTAGGTTCTTCCTAACATAGAAACAAAATACCAATCTTACTTAAATGTCTTATTTTTACTAAAACATAAGATTCTTAATTAAAATAGGTAGGTACCTTACTAAAATTTCATGCTCTAACATTAATATATGTATTGTATTTTTAATAAAGACATAACTATTTTTAGAGGAACGAATTGAACTAGTGTTCAATGATTATTTTAATAATATATGGAATGGTAGCTACTATGAAGCTAACGGTTTAAAAATCCAATTAAAGAAATTGTTGTAACTTCACATGAATGGTGCAAAAACAATTTTGGGCGTCTAGTTTGGTAGTCTAGTTCATCGATGACTGAAAAGCCCTGTTATTATTTTCAATTTTATATTTGTAGGTACACTACATTACTACCTACATCAGCAGTGGTTTATAAATAATATTTTTTTACACATTTATAATTTAACTAATTCAACCTTTTTAAAATGTTATGCAAGTATTAAGTAAACAAATATTAAGGTAGGTAAAAAATAATACATACATGTCTACCTACATAGTCAGAGGTAGGTAGGGGTTACACGATCATTGAAAATACATAAATATTAGACAAAAAAAAAAAAATTTACAAACATTTAAAACTGTGAACATATTTTAAAGTATTTTTTTTTTACTATAATGAGCACCTCGCATGTTAAATTTCTGTCAGTTGGACTCTGAATGTGATTTAATTGTCCTGAATGTACAACATGACTCCCTAAATAACAAAAATTTACTAACAAAATTCAAAAATTTGACCTACCCGATAATACTTTATAGGTGTTACTAGTTCCTATATAGATTATAATGACAATTATTTTAAAATATACCATTCAATTTTATTTGCATGAACTTTTAGTAAGGTTTTTTACCAAATGTTTATAAATTGGAATGATTTTGAGTCTGTTGTGAGTTATTTAAAAATATTTAAAATGTTCGATTTTTTTTTTGATGTTGATAACATTTTTGGTTGTGAGTATTAATGTTGAAAATGTATTTCAAAGTTTCTCTTAAGGTCTTACCACAATATCAAAGAATAAAATATATTCCAATCGCATAAACTTCTAAAAAAGGGTCTGGTAGAAAATCGAATCCAGCTTATACTTTGAGGTGTCAATATTTGATATTTATCAGTACTTTTTATAATCAGAAACAAATTTACCGAAATGTGTTAAAATAATGTTATTTTAATATGCTGATAGTCTCCGCTCAAGGATTTTTTTTTTATTCAATTATTTGTCGTTCAACTAAAAAAAAGTTACTATAGATACTTAATAATGGGTTTTGTATATGCCCCTATGGTAATTTTAAAACATTAGTACATTATTGATATAAGTCTATAAATATTTATAATTTATAAGTTTTAAGTATTAAATATATTAAACACAAAAATCCAATATTATAGCTATTATAACATTTTATTTAATATCTGCTATATTTAAGGACTTATTATCCTTAATATAAACATAAGCTGAAAAGTTATTCATTCGAATTAGGAATTAAATAAATATCAATTTTTAATAAACCATCCAATAAATTAATTTAATTTAATCCTCTAGGTGATTATTTGAAAACCAGAAGTGTGCATCGCAACGAGACACTGAAAAAATCTAAAAGATGTACGGTTTTAATAAGGATTCCAAAATAATGAGTTAAATGACATTCATTGTTATATGAAAAAATTAAGTTGAGTCTGCTTGGTGAATTACTCTGTACTAAGTAGGTACTTAAACAGATTTTTATAAATTTATTAAATTTATGCCTAACGAAATATAAATACTTAAAATACTTATATTTAAATGTATATAAATGTAGAATGACTAATGTACGCATATACCTAAAAAGCCGTACTCACCAACTAAGGAAATATCTTCGCCAAGCGATTTATGCCCGACCGATTCAAATGCGGTGCAAATCATTTCCATCTGACAGCTTATAGCTAAGCAAAGTGTCACCAGAAGAATATC